ACAGTCCTCATGGAGGAGGCTTCCAGGTAAGTTCCATCCCAAATCTTCCAAGTCATGGGTCTGAAGTGTCAAGTGTGTACTGTCTTCAGCAGGAGGATCCTACCTTAAAGATTTGGGAGTCAACCAAGGGCAATGGTAGCAGGACACACACACACACACACACACACACACACGTGTGTGTGTGTGTGTGTATACATATGTATACATATATATGTGTATATATATATATGTTTCCACTGATTATGATAGGGTCTTACCTTGTAGCTCTGGCTATCCTGGAATTCATTATGTAGACCAGGCTGGCCTCAGATTCATAGAGGTCCACCTGCTTCTACCTCCTGACTGCTGGGATTAAAGGCATGTGCCACCATGCTTCCCTCTACTGTTCTGAGAGTTTTCTGAACCATTCTGACCAACGATTTGAAGGGAGCTTTCCAATGCCTGCCTGGCACTGGGGTTTTTGATAGATAGTCTTTGGTTTTTGTGGCACAACTCCATTTCAAACATACATACATACACACATACACACACATACACACACACACACAAGCACTTATGCACACACTCATGCATGCACATGTGCCCATGCACACACACAACATACATGTATTTTAAAAAATAGATGTATAAAGTGTTTTCCCTAGCACTTTCCCAAACATCCTCAGTGTTATTTGTTTCTCTGTCCTCCCTATCCCTGTGTATTCCCTTTCCTCCTTTCTCCCCAGTTAAAGCCCCTCTTCCACTTTCCCCTGTCCCTGTTTACACAACACCTGTATCCTATTAAACCCATCTCTAGAGTGTATGGTCCCCCCTCCCTCTCATGATCGCTTTCTATTTTCCTGGCTTCTATGATTACTTCAGGTGACATACTCAATTCTGTAGCAAGGACTAATAAATAAGAGAGGACAAGTAGCATTTGTCTTTCTGGAGCTGGGTTGCTTTATATACTATTGCCCAGTTCCATCTACTTACCTGGAAGAGCTGGGTCCCTCAGGAATGTGCAGACAATGAAGAGGGTGGCATGCACTTACCTGACTGGGCTGGCGTACATGCCAGAGTGGATGGAGACAGCTTCTTGGCATTTTTATTAAGGACTTTTACTATTTCAAGAATAACTCAAGAGCAGGACAGATTCAACCAATAAAGTTTTATTATTCATCTCATCTTTTTTTTTTTTTTTTTTTTTTTTTAGGAGAGTTTACACATGGGTAAATATTTGACTAAGCTGAACTTGACTATTTCCAGCACTAGGAAATCATGGGCTGTTCAGCTGTGCAGTTCCTTTTTCTGACTTGTCACCCCAGTGAGGGGAAAAGGATGTCATCATGTAGTCACCAGCAGAAGAGAAATTTCAAAAGAGACCTCAGTGTAAAGCCCACAAGCACCTCGACTCTCAGAGGAGACTGAGCTCCTCAGATAACGCGTCTGAAGAGTGGACCCGGCTGTCTGTCCATCAGGCATGGAACCAAAGAGGATCAGGGAGGGCTACCTGGTGAAGAAGGTAAGTAGGAGCCCACTTACAAGGCTGGATCAAGAATGGGGCTTGCAGAAGGCCGGTGCTTGCTCCATACCCTGCCCATCCTTTGTGGGATCTTCCGTGTTGGATCTGTTGGGTTGGGATGAGACAGTGCATCATACAGACAGTGTGTCGATGTGGGGCTGTTTCCACCTGTTCCTCTACTCTTTTTGCCTTAAAAGTGAATCAAGTTCAGGCTTCAGCAGTTTGTCCTCGCAAGCCTGAGACTTCCAGACTGCAGGGTGTGGAAGGTGAAAATCCACATTTACTTTTTCCATGACTTAAAACACTTTGCAACAGCTACACATTGCCTTCTGGGGAAAAACAAAACAAACCCTCAAATTCTTTTGTTCCAGAAGTTGCCTGGAGAACTGCTCAGTTCTTATTTAAATTGCCAGGATGGTGGAAGGATTAGGGGTGGGCTGGGTGGGAGTGAATAACAGTATAAACTGACAAAATAATATGGCTAATTTCCTGGGCCTTCTTACACCTACTGCCTGTAAGACCTTTCGTTTTTGTTTCAAGGCTGTAAGGGTGGTTGGAGGTGGTAACGGGTGTTGGCTGCTACCTCTTACCCAGAACTTTAGTAAATTTGTATAGTAGACCACCAATTTGCTAGAGATACCATTTTAAAGAACAAAAGTGAGGATGTGAGAATATTAAAAATTGTTAAGTGTCATGGAAATTTGAATTTTGTTCATGTTTCTAGTCTTTGTGCTGCTGTTGCTGCTGCTGTTGCTGCTGCTGTGTGCTTTGAGTTGTGAAAGTTTCTTGTGTGGTAGATTCACACATAGGGGCTGCTGGCATCCTGTGGGCAATACTCTGTAGAGACACACTCACATGAAGCCAGGAGGGTTTCAGGGGCTCACAAATGTCGCTCTGACTAAATTCACGAGCAGTTTTTTGAAAACTGAGCAGACACTGTGACTTATTTTTTCTTAAAGTCAGCTCAATCCAGGCTAGCTAATTATCGAATTTTGAGATTGAGTTTTACTTTAGAGCTCTTACTGTATGTCCAGGGCCAACCTTGAACTGGTGGCAAGTCTCCTGACTCAGTCTCCCAAACCCTGGGATTGCAGGAATGAAGAACCTCGCCCTGCTGCTGCAATTTGATTTTAGAGCATTAAGTTCTTTCTTTTCTTTCTCTTACAATGCTCTATGGACACAAAATTGTACACACTGTGGCCTGCATCCATTCTTATTTCAGGTTGGAAAGACACTTCAATTTTTCTGTGAAGAGACTAAGAAGTTAAGGCATGAGGGTGTGATAGAGTCAGGAAAGACGCCCTTCCTCACTCCTGGGGACGGAGCTCTCTGCTTTGCACCTTAGGGTGAAGCTAATCTTCATTAGCGCTCACAGTGTATCTGTGCTGGCGAGAGTTATGAATTAGTGCTGAGGGATACAGGGGCCTGTAGTGTATCCTCTTAAGCTAGCTGAAGTTTGAGACATCCTTTCTAAATGAAAAAGCTGGATGTAGATTATTGGTAACCAGCATCCCTCTACTCCCTCTCTGAGAGTCATAGGAACTGTTGGCTGATCTCTTTCCTGATCACACTGAACTGAATAGTATTGTGTGTGTGTGTGTGTGTGTGTGTGTGTGTTCCTCTGTGTCTGTGGATCTGTGTGGGTGCATAACTTCCATGATGTGTGTGTAAAGGTCAGAGGAAAACTTGCTGGAGTCAGTTCTCAATCCAGGCCATTCTGGTTTCTGGCAGACACCAGTAACTGCTGAGTCACCTCACAGGCCAGGCTTTGTTTTAATGCAAAATGACAAAATTGCGTTTGTGTGCTTATATTTTACATTTACAAAACTACAAGAATGTAGTCGATCCAATCTGCAATAAGTGAGGCCTTTTCACTAGAAAGTTGGAGTGCTGGCACTCCAACATTGTGAAGCTCCTGGATTTAATAGCTTTATATTAGTCTCGGTAATTCTCTCAGATTATGGCCAACAAGTGGCAATCTAGGAAAGACTCTAGAAGAGAGTATAGTGAAAATGCACATTGACATTTTTACAATGTTCATCTCCCATAACTATTGTGGGAATATGCACAATTAATATTACACTTGAATGTACATTACATTCAATCTAATATGCTTGTTTTCATGTTTTGCATTTCCTCAGGGCCACTTAGACACTCCTTCTTGTAGGATACTAAGATTCTCCAATTTGGCACTTTACTTTTGTTTGAATTTTTTTTCAGTGTTGGAACTCAAAACCAGTGCCTCACATATGGTTAGGCAAAAGTGCTTTACTACTGAGCTGTACCTCCAACCCTCTAATTTGGCATTTTTGTCAGTTGCAGGCGTAAACCTGAAACTAGGATTTCCTAATTAGTCATCAAAATTATTAACCTCTTTATATTTTAAGATTGATTTTTAGTTATACAATGTGAGTTAAAGATCTATCTATCTATCTATCTATCTATCTATCTATCTATCTAGGATCCTATAATACTGGGGTAGTGAAGATTGATATCAGAAAGCACATATGCCGCAACACCCTGTGAGATGTGTGATGGTTCCAAATCCTTAGGAAAACTCCACGAAAATCTACTTCTGTGGAGATCCTGAAGCCATGAGTGTGGCTGCTCAGACGAAAGCAAGACAAGTAATACTAATGAAAGTGATTTCCTTCTCTTTGCTTTTGTCTTTTATAGAGTTCATGATTCTAGGGTAGAAATTAAAATGTGGCTTTCTTGTATGTCTTATGAAATATATTTTTGAATTAGTGTATTTTGGTTGGAAAAAAATGTAACAACAGAAAGTGCTGATGTAAGAATTTTGTCAAGTCTTTGGGTTGATGGCCAATGGCATAAACTTTAAAATATTTCTTCTTTGTTCATCCTCTTTTTTTATTCTCTCCCTCCCATCACCCCCCCCCGTGTGTGTGTGTGTGTGTGTGTGTGTGTGTGTGTGTACAGGCATGTGCCCACACTATGTATACTGAGGTCAGTGGACAACTTGCAGGAGTTGGTTTTCCCTTCCACCGTGTGGTTCCTGGAGATTAGACTCAAGTCATCAGGCTTGGCATCAAGTGCATTTCCTACTGAGCCATCTCATAAAGCCCATGTTTCTGTTAGAGATAACCGTCCACATTTCATATTTTATGTTTCCTCTTTTCCCTCCTGGCTAAGATCTTTAAACAGAGATTGTGGTTAAGAAGGGGAGAAAAAAAATGTGACTGTCATTCTCAACCCTTTCATTCTAAATAGCACTCCTTGCCTCTGAGTCTTGTCACTTGTGATTATTTTAAGGACCACTGTGGCCTTGTAGGTACAGCTGGCTACTATGCCAACATGCTCTTTCTTCAGTCCCTAACACTTCACAGAGAGCAGGTGACTTGCTCATTATCAAATAACAGTAAAGGGATAACCTGGGGTTCAAACTCAGGCTTGCCTAATAGCAAAGCCCCCATCTCATGACCCCATAGTGCTCTGAAAGGCAAAGATGTATAGCAAATAATATTGGGTTTAATAATTTCAGCTCTCTTTCTTTCTGATTGGGGGAACAGTTTTTGAGAAAATAAATACTTTGGTTGTCCTTGAATACAAATGAATTGGGTGTTCTTACAACCATAACTTTAAAAAAGAGAATATTCCTCCATGTTATATCTCTCATTGTCAAAAACTAGTTTCCATGACAAAAGCCCAGCAAACACTAAGTACTGAAGGACAGACTCAAACAACCACACAAGACTTGAATGTCTTGTGAAGTTGATAGACAGCCCAGAAACCAGGGTGGCGAGAAAGACAAAATTAGGGGACTGGGAGGGTGTTCCACAAACTTACAGCAGAAGGTATATACTGTTGAGTCCAGTATAGAGCTGGTATTGGAAAGAAGGGGTTTGGTGGAAGTAGTAGGGACACAGAAGAGGCTGACCTGGGAAGGTGTGTTGATCAAAGTATATTATATGTATGACATCGTCAAGGTAAGCAGGTAATGAACTAGAAGTGGGTACATCTGTGATCAAGAGAGAACGGAACAGAGCAGAACAGACTGAGGATTTTGTCCAAGAATTCTCTCCCAGAGCCATGTTTTCTTCTGAAGAGAATGAAATAATCCCCAGAACTTTGCATTTCTTTCTCATGGTGGTTCACAAGTTAGGGGTGCTCACCAAGTTAGGGGCAGTTCTGAGCATTCAGTGCATCAGTGCATTTACAGAACATTCCTATAATAACCCTAGGAAACCATAAAATTATCCATTATTTTGAAGATGAGGAAATGGAGGTAGAGAGGCAGAGGGTCTTGTTTAAGATACCCCAAAATAAACTATGGGAAACCAGGAATATAGCTCCAGAGTAACCCAAACCTGTGAGTAACTGCTGTAACAAATTTTCATGTGGTCCTTATGGGTTCAAACTGCAGTGATCTTCTTTTCCAAAGATTTCTTTTCTTTGATAGATGGGACCAAGGAGACTCTCAGGCCGGAATCGTTCCCACTGTATTACTCATACAATTGGACTCAGATCTGTCTGTATTGTGGCCATTTCTGAGGCCCTTCCAGAAGCTGACAGTGTTCTAATATCTTTTAAGTGTATCATATGCTTTAATGTTTATGAGCAAAACGAGTTTTTGATGTTAGGAAAAATGAACAGTTTGTTTAAGGTCATGGAACCTGAAAAAGACAAAGGCAAAATATGAGCAGAAATCTAAAACTCAGTAGATCGGGTTGTAAACCACGCAGCTTACTTAATGTGTTTTTGTTAGGGAAAGTCCAAGTTGATAGAATTTGTTATATAAAAGTATATTACTGGATAGGCTCATTCCCTTGCTTCCAAAGGGCTTATGTACAATATAAAACAAGTCTCTGAGAAGTTGTACAAGTAGGAAACTAGATGATACAATTAATAATGCAATACAAGTAGAAGACTGATTTAATATAACCTCACCTGAAATGAAGTTCCCCATAGGTATGGGGGAATAGTGTAATTATACACAGTTCTTACATAGTTTTGACCATAATAGAATTCTTTGAATTTGA